AGCCTCAAACTCCAGGGCTCAAGCCTCCTGAGTACTTAGAGTACAGGTGCCCACCACAGTAGGCCTTGAGATGAGGTCTTGCTCTTACTCAGGCTGGTCTTGAACTCCTGAGCTCAAGCAATCTTCCCACCTCGTCTTCCCAGAGTGCTAGGATTACAAGTGTGATACACTGTGTCCGGCTTACTTATGTGGTTTGAATTCTACTTCTAAAGTGCTGCTCTAAGGGTCTACTGCTCTACTCCTGAAAAGGGAATTTAGGATTCATCAGAGTTAAGACACCTCGTGAAACTCCCGGCCTCAGAGTGAAACACTTTCTAACTCACAGAAAGCCCCAGTGACATGCCCCAGAAGTGTGAAGTCTCTCCCTTCCCAGTCGGAGCTGTGCGTTCAGATGCTGATCTGGACCAGCCGTGCCCCAGAAAACAGCTGGAGCTCGTGAGGATTGCTTCCTTTTGTTTTTCCAAAAGCTAAGTGTTATTTGTCCTATTTTCAAGCATGGATCTTAAAGAATAAACATTTTCAGAGTTACATAGAATCATGGAAGGCCCCTTAGGACTAATATATTCATGCCCTCCAGTGTGAAGGTGAGGACAGTTCATACTCAACAGCTCTGTGCCAAGGGTGCACTTCTCGGCCTGCCTCAAAAAGGAACTGGCAGGCAGATTTACATTCACTGCAACAGGTCGGGTCACACATTTTTAGCCAGGCCCGGACAAAGTCTTTATCACTCCTCATAGCCAAGGTGAAGCCAGCCCTGCCTGCAGCCAGCAGGGGCTCTGCCAGTGGCCAAACCAAGCACCCACTGGAAGCTGGACCCAGAAGCTGGGGGCTTGTTGGAGCCACAGAGCATCCCCCAGACACTATCTTTCCACCTAACTATACCCTAGGAAATGTTCACTTTGGGGGAAAACCTTGCAATTAAAATGAATTCCCTACTTGTTCAGGCTCTCCACTTGTCCCACTAAACTCCTAGGTTTTAGGTTTTGTCTTAGAAGAACAAATGAAATATTATTTTGAGAAAAAGAAACAAAACTCACCTTTGGCTGACGTTTATTCCATGGCATTGATGATTTTTTCACTAATACTGCCACAAAGAACCCTCCGGTATTCTGATGATGCGGTAATATTCTAAGGCTAAAAGAAAAATGTATTCACACTTTTTAACTGATCCAAAAATGTATTCTTTTAGTATTAAAACATATACTACAAAAATGATAAAAACACAAAATGATGTCTTACTGCAAATACTCAGGCAACCCTCACTGCATAATCTTTAAAAAGTTCAAGCTATGGCTCAGCGCCTGTGGCTCAAGAGGCTAAGGCACCAGCCATATACACCTGAGCTGGTGGGTTCGAATCCAGCCTGGGCCCGCCAAACAACAATGAGGGCTGCAACCAAAAAATAGCCAGACGTTGTGGTGGGTGCCTGTAGTCCCAGCTACTTGGGAGGCGGAGGCAATAGAATCACTTGAGCCCAGGAGTGGGAGGTTGCTGTGAGCTGTGATGCCACATCACTCTACCCAGGGCAACAGCTTGAGATTCTGTCTTAAAAAAAAAAAAAAAAAGTTCAAGCTATACAAGATTGTATCAACCAAAACAGTATGGTAGTGGCATAAAAACAGAAACACAGACCTGTGGATCAGAATAGAGAACCTAGAGTTGAAAACACCCTTGTATTTCCATCTGATCATTGACAAAGCAGACAAACACACTGAGGACAAGAACCCCTAGTCAATAAATGGTGCTGGGAAAACTAACAGCTACATGCGAAGACCAAAAACAGGATCTACACTTCTCACCACTCAGAAAAATTAATTCATGATGAATACAAGACTTAAACCTAAGGCATGAACTGTAAGAATTCTAGAAGAAAATGTTGGAAAATGCGTATCGATATCAGCCTGGGCAAAGTGTGCATGAAGAGGACCTCAAAAGCAACCAGAGCAACAACAAAAATAAACAATGGGACCCGATCAAATTAAAGAGCTTCTACACAGCTAAGAACACAATAGCCTAAACAGACAACTTACAGAAACGGGAGAAAATACCTGCCTGCTACACAGCCAATAAAGGGCTGGTAACCAGAATCTACAAGAACTCAAGCAAATCAGCAAGAGAAAAACCCAAACAAAAAGTAGGCAAATGACATGAACAGAAATTATTCAAAAGAAGGCAAATATTCAACAATCACATTAAAAAATACTCAGCATCTCTAATCATCAGAGAAGTGCAAATCAAAACCATAGCGAGAAGGGCTTTTATCAAAAAGGCCCCCCCCACCCAAAAACAGAAGGCTCGGTGCCTGTGGCTCCAGCCACATACACCTAAGGTGGCGGGTTCGAATCCAGCCCGGCCCGCCAAACAACAATAATGGCCGCAACCAAAAAATAGCCGGGCGTTGTGGCGGGCGCCTGTGGTCCCAGCTACTTGGGAGGCTGAGACAGGAGACTCGCTTGAGCCCAGGAGTTGGAGGCTGCTGTGAGCAGTGAAGCCATGGCACTCTACCCAGGGGGAAAGCTTGAGGCTCTGTCTCAAAAAAGTCCCAAAACAACAAGTGCTGGTGTGGCCACAGAGACAGGAACACGAACATGAGTGCTGGTGGGACGGCAGGCTAGTGGACCTCGGTGAGAGCGGCGTGAAAATGTTTCAAAGAACTAAAGTAGACCTACCACGTGACCCAACAATCCCACTGCTAGGTATTTACCCAAAAGGAAAAAAAAATATTTAATCAAAAAGACACTTTCACGCAACTGTTTACAGCAGCACAATTCACAACTGCAAAGATATGGAAATGACCCACAGAGCCCTAGTGGGCCATCATAAAAAGATACCGGCAATCCAGTATCTCTTTTTAACAACCTGGGTGGAACTGGAGACCATTCTTCTAAGTATCATAAGAATGGAAAAGTAAACACCACAGGTAACAGCACTAAACTGGAACTAGGTGGTCAACACCTATTTGCACATGTGGATGTAAAACTCAGCGGGAATCAAGTGGGGAGGGGGGCTGGCTCAATTAAGACCGAACTGTTACCATGCACATTCTGCGTGAAGGGAACTCTTCTAACTTTAACTTAAATGTACAAAAGCAAATTATGTAACTAAAACGTGTGTGTCCCTGTAATATTTGGGGAAAAAAAAGTTCACAAAGTATCCCAAGTATTACCATTCAGGTTCTAGCCAATTTCCCTATTGACAAACACCTACTCCAGGGACTAACAGTCACTGCCAATGTGCCTGCTGGGCAGCTCACACTTAGGAGGTCACTGGCCTGCTGCCCCTCACTCATTCTGAGCCCAGCAGCTCCCCAGGGACCTGGGCCCTCCTCATCCCCCGCCCTGGAGAGCTCGCACACTGACCATCGCTCCAGGTGCATGGCCTGCAACTTGGCCGGCTCCTTGGGTGGGAACATGGTGGGCCGAATCTGGGTATGTCTGCTGTGAGGGACGTCATCCCAATCTGTAAACCACTGTCCATCTTTTGTCATCACCTGCAAAATGAGAAGGCACATTTCTAGGTTATCAGCACTACGTAATAATAAGAAAAATCACAGAGTAATAGTGTAAATGCTCTCAGACATAACAATGGTGATTCTCATTCTCTCCAAAGACAGGAAGGCTATTTGCCAAGATAAAAACAAAACCAATCTTTACAAAAAATCTCCCAAATTACATAAAATCTGTTAAAAAAACAAAGATGAAATACTTTCATTACAAAAAACAGGACAACCATTATAAGAGAACATTTTCCAGGTATTTTTGTTTGTTTGTTTAAAGCCTTAAACCTGTTTCTGCCCTAAACTGTAAAGTGAATTGTTTCTGACTGGAAGCAAAGCTTGAGTGCCAGCCTGTCACAGAAGCAGAGCTACCTTACGGGGCTAAGAGTCTCAAAGCTGATTTCCACAGGTGAAATAAAGGCAAGAAAGCTTTTCCACATTTGTATAAGCATACCACTGTACTCTAAACTGCATAACCTGATGTAGAATACTAATGTAGTCAAGTAACCCAAACGTGCATGCTTTAAAAGTTTCATGACTCTAAACCTCTTCAGCTGAACGTGCTCCTTTGAACTGAAGTGTGTTAAGAAAGATTACCTTCCACTGTGTGATTCCAGGCATCCATTTCAGCCCTGGTAATTCAGAAGACACATCGGCAAGCTCTAAAGCACCTAGACAGCCAAAGAAAAAGGTAATTAAGGTATATTATGCCCAGTGAAAGCAAGCAGACACAAAAGATTCCCTATTGTATAATTCCACTTATAGGAATGTCTAGGAAGAGAAAATCCAAGGATATAAAGTGGAATACTGGCTGCCTGAGGCTGGGGTGGGAACAGGGAGTGCTGTTCTCATGGGCATGAGGATCTTACGGGATGATGGAAATGGCCTAAAATTGGACTCTGGTAAGGGGTATCGAACTCAGTAACTGAACTGTACACTTAAAATGAATGATGTTACAATATATAAATTACAGCTCAATAAAGCTGTTAAGCTGAAAAGGTGTTGCAGCGTTGCACCGGCCATGCGTCTCACTCTGCTCAGAAGGTGACCTGGCATGTAGCCTGCAGCCAGGAGTCAGAGCGGCCGGCCATTTCCTTGTTCAAGAGACTCACCAGTTAGATCAGCAGTTCTCAATCTGCGGGTCATGACCCCTTTGTAACAATGAAAATACATCCTGCATATCAGATATTTACATCGCGATTCATAACAGTAGCAAAATTGCAGTTATAAAGTAGCAACGAAAATAATTTTATGGTTGGGGGTCACCACAACATGAGGAACTGTATTAAAGGGTCGCAGCAGGAGGAGGCATTAGGAAAGTTGAGAACCACTGAGTCAGATGAACATAAAATGATCCAGTGATACAGAAAATAGTACAGGAAGAGTCCTCCAAAAACTAAAAATAAATTACCATATGACCCAGCAATTCCACTTTTAGGGATATATTCTCAAAGATATGTGTACACTGTGTTCAGAGCAGCCTTATTCAGAACAGCCGGAAGATGGAAGAAACCCAGCTGTCCATTGAAAGATTAATGGATAAACAAAAATGCAATGTATTCATACAATGGTATATTTATTCAGCCTTATAAAAGAATAAAATTCTGACACATGCTAACTTGAATGAACTTTAAGCACACAGCACTTGTGGGGGGATCGGTCATAGGAGTTACTGTTCACAGGCTCAGAGTTTTAGTTTTACAAAATGAAGAGTTACAGAGATGAGTCTTGAGATGGTTGCACAGCAATGTGGACATACCTAACATCACCAATCTGTAGACTTAACATAATTCAGATGGTGAGCTTTATACGATCTATCATACGCGCAAATGCCCAGGGAAAGCCCTACAGGAATATGTACCTTTAGCAAAAACCATTTTTGAAAAGCATAAACTTCTTAACAGTCATGTCCAGGGTGCTCACTACCTTCGCTTTTCTCCAGCAGGGACGCTATGACAGCTTCATCCTCGATGGGGTTCAGGGAGCACGTGGAGTACACCATCCTCCCGCCTCCCGCCAGCTGCTCAGCACCTCGAGTTGCAATACGGAGCTGTAAGCTAAGGGTCAGCGTTAGGTCACAGGAAGACTGAACTAATTCACAGAGCGCACGCACTACACATACCAGAAGTACCTATTATTAATTATACCACTTACGTATTTCAAGTTTTTATAACACAGTAAAAAATCTTTTTAAGGTTTTAAGTGAAGTTAGAGTAAATTTACATGAAGTGTTCATTTACACAATTGCTTTTACTGTTCAGTTAACCTTTCCCAACGACAACAAAAAAAGCAGAAAGTTAGTTAACAACTAAGTTCAACATACTAGATGAATTTCATTATTTAAAAATCTCCACACTTGGGGTGGCACCTGTGGCTCAAAGGAGTAGGGCACCAGCCCCATATGCCAGAGGTAGTGGGTTCAAACCTGGCCCTGGCCAAACACTGGGAAAAATAAAAATCTCCACACTTAAACAAATATGTGACTTTTCTTTCTTCTGGGGGGGAGGGTTGCAACAGAGTCTCACTGTGTCACTCTCAGTAAAGCGCCGTGGCCATCATCCCAGCTCACAGCAACCTCCCTCTCCTGCCTCAGCCTCCCAAGTAGCTGGGACTACAGGCGCCCGCTACGACACCCAGCTATTGTTAGAGACAGGGTCTCGCTCTGGCTCAGGCAATCCACCCGCCTCGGCCTCCCAGAGTGCTAGGATTATAGGCGTGAACCATCACGCTCGGCCCAAATACGTGGCTTTTCTATGAAAAATTTGTAGTCCTTCTCTTACACTGATCCTAACTTTTGCCTCTGTTTCATAAAAACAGCAGACAGCATTTTACAGAGAAGCAAACCCCCTACGGGGCTGTCTGTGGGAGATACCGATCAGTACGCTTCATCATGCACAGTCCTGCTTATAAGAAACATGTAACTCTTCATGCCAAATGAAAAGAACACAAAGCTCCACAGACAGCACAAACTTACCTGAAACAAGAATTTTAAAAGTCCCTATATACAGAAAAACACTACGATATACCAATATTAACAGAAATAACTACTTTATGAGAATTTTTTTTAAGAATTTTCCAAATTTTCTTACAAAGTTTTTGCCATCATAAAAAAGGCCCCCCCACAAAATATTTCTAAGAAAAGATCAAAATGTTAACCAAAATAGTAACACAAAGGGACAAAAATGGTGAGGAAAAAGATTAATAAGACATTAAAAGGTAAATGATTATTTCATGAAAAAACACAATTGAAATGTTCCTAGGGTTTTATAAAAGGTATTTCTAATAAATACGTATATGAAATACATACAATTTGTAGTTACTCCTCTGCAGAGGTTTTAAAAACAACTTGTTATTCAAGCAAACTCCTGAAGGTGACCATTTGCCATCATGGTAAAGATCTGGATGCGCAATTACACAAGCTGACAATGTAACTGTCCCGCTCCGTCTCTGCCCTGTGTTCACTGTGCTGCACTTACAAAGTCTTACTCACCCATGCAGCTGTAGACTATTTAAGGTGCTCCACTTCTTCCAAACATCAATGTTTTTTCTCATAGTACCATCTCCACTAGAAAGATATTCAAGAAGTTAAAATTCTGTACAAGTAGACAATTAAATGTTAATAGATGTATAATATTCAAGTGAAATTATAAATACATATTCAAGCTATTATTATAAATACTATTTAGAAAAGTCTAAATTCTCAGACTACAATCAACTTTGTACTTTAGAACAATCTAACACGTTATACTTTTTAAATGTATTTCAATTTTCAATCAAAAAGAAAGTAGCAGATTTGAACAGGAAGCTTCATTCAACTCCTAAAGAGATACTAACCTACTCCCATTTGGGAAAAATACTAATTTTCACACCTAGTGCACAGAGGCTGAATACTGCCATTTAAAATCTTGGTTAATCAACACTGACATTTTAATAAGATTTATATGAGTAATGATACATTTATACTCATAGAATTTTCCACAGCAAATTTAATTAAGCTAATTTAATTTCTTCTTAAAGTTTTCCTACAGTCAAACCTTTCTGCCTTTCTACTTTTATTTCATGCAAGTTATTTTCATGTTTTAGGTAACGGAAACCATTTCTGTGTACATTGTATAATAAACTGGATTTGTTAATCTTCTGGCTGGGGTTAATTTTATCTACTGTGTTTTCTTCCAGGGGTGGTATCTGACTTTCTCAGCTTTCTCTGTGAAGCTTAACTTTCTTTCGTGGTCTAGTCACACATGTGGAGGCACCAGGTACACTGGATGGAGATCTTCTCTGGGATGGAAGTCCTACTTGTAAATGATGTCTCTGGCTATTTGCCAGTGGCAGATATGGTGGGAAACTCCACCACAATTCCAGAAATGTCCTTACCTTGCAATCAAGAGCCCACAAGACCATTTCATTCTCTGCATAAGTTATCTGATTAAAAGAGGGGTGCGTCCTCAAGGAAAACTAGAATACTGCAACCTACAGCCTGAGCACAAGTGAGACTCTGTCTCTACCAAAAATAGAAAACTAGCCGGCTGTGGTCCCAGCTACTCAGAAGGCTGGGGCAAAAGGATCCCTTGAGCCCAAGGATTTGAGGTTCCACTCTAGCCCTGGGTGACAGACAGGAATCCTGTCTCTACCCCAATCCTCACCAAAAAAATTGCAACCTAGGGCCAAGGGAAGCTTAGTTCCATGGCTTATTCTAAATTTGACTTTAAAGAAGCATTTCTCATGTATTCTAACACAAAACCAAACTTAGTGCTGCAATTTTCAACCTGAGTTCTCTCCGGAGCAGTAAATTTGCCAGTTGTTTTTTTTTTTTTTTTTTTTTTTTTGAGACGGAGCCTCAAGCTATCCCCCTGGGTAGAGTGCCATGGCATCACGCTCACAGCAACCTCCAACTCCTGGGCTCAAGCGAGTCTCCTGCCTCAGCCTCCCAAGTAGCTGGGACTACAGGCGCCCGCCACAATGCCTGGCCATTTTTTGGTTGCAGCCATCATTGTTGTTTGGCAGGCCCGGGCTGGGGATTCGAAACAGCCACCTTAGGTGTATGTGGCTGGCGCCTTAGCCGCTTGAGCCACAGGCGCCGAGCCTGCCAGTTGTTTTAAAAAAAAGGAATTCTTCCATAACAAGCTATCATATTTAAACCGTGTTTATAGCTAACAAGTTTGTGGCAGTTTTTGAACTCTGGTCTCAATAAATTTACAATGTTCAAAAGGTATTAACATCTGAGATCACCATCCATATGCCGCCTCTGGAAACTAATCAAATGTCTTTAGTTAAGTTCTGTCTTTACTTTTCAGAAAAATTGTTACTGAGTTATACCATGGAATTCTTTTACACATGAACTCTAAAATTTCAAGAAAGACATGGGAATACAGGTAAAGTAAGTTTCCCAAAGGTCTGCACTCAAATTTCTTTGCCATAATGTGAAACTCAATGTGTTTGTTTATTATCCTATGACAAAAACTTTTAATAGAAGAACAAATAGAAATTCTTGGGACACACAAATTGTTCCAAACAACAATATTCTGAACACAACACAATTAGAGTTTATGATTCTATCTTCCACTCAGGTATTTTATCTTTTTTAAGACTCAAAAGCATCCAATTCTTTATCTCTTTGTTCTATATACAATGTCTATTAATCTGTTTATGACAAAAATTCTGTGGGTCTTGCAGTTGAGGCTTGTGATATTTTTCTCCCTCCCTGTGGCCACAAGACACATATGTACAACTGCATGTGTTTTTGTAGGCAGCTTCATTTTTGTCTGTTTGATTCGATTTCTTTAATGAATTTTGGGCTTTCTGGCTTCTTAAAAAGATAAATACCTGCAAGGAACATCACATAAAATTCGATCATAGAAGAGGACCTCTTTCCTTCCCCCCACGTCTACCAGCAGTCGGGGTATACTGGAGGCATCGTGGTTCACCACCATAATGCAGGGGCTGCTCAGCCTCTTGGCTTGATGAACGAGCAGGTAGCAGCGCTTGTTGTCCACATCATTAGCGATGACAAATCCCTCTGGGAACATAAAACCATACTGTCAGGTGAAACGCAGCGTCAGTGGAATCATTTCCTGAAATACAACCTCTAAGTTAGCAGGTAAGAAACAGCAATCCTCCAAAGTTAAGACACAAGGTGAAGATTTTCTGGAAATATGTTAGGGGTTCAAAAAAAAGGAACTAGGTATCTCTGCACAGATTTTATGGACACGAGAAATTTCAAAACCTCAAAATTCATCTGTTTGACAATTATTCATCTTGGGCCAATTATTGAGCCAAAAATGTCTACTATTATTACAAAGGAGAGCAAAAGAAAGGCATGGAAAACAAGAGAATCACCTGACAAGTGTTTTAAAATACTGAGCCTGAGCCTGGGTGTGGACCTCACTCTGGAGTCAGACTAAGAACTAACTACTGATGGGAAGTTCAGCAGGGGTTACTTTTACCCTGCTGGTTCCCCTCACAACCTGAGGCAAAAAGGCAAATGACCACAACGTTTATGATCAAAGTCACTCTGAAACAATAAAATGCAAAGCAGCAACAATATAGAGAAATTCCCTCCCGCTGGAATACCAAGAGTCTTTACCACCCATCCGGAGAAAATAATTAAAAACAGGGAAGAACAAAGAAGGCTTTCTAGCAAAGGCATTATCTTTGAGTAATATAAAAAAGGGCTTTAAAAACTACAGCTAACAAAATATGCGGCTAAAACAACCAGAGCAGGGGACTGAACAGAGGAAGTAGGATGACATCACAGGCGCCTTTCAAACGGGATGAAGAGTATCTGTATCTGTTTCTTAAAGCATCCTACAGGCCCACCATGAGGACCACCTGAGGACAGGAATTCAAGAATCCCTATAATGGAGTGTGACAGCAGAGTAACAGCTGCCATCTCCTGAGCACCTTTCCCCCTATATCCCTGCAGGCTAAGCACTGATGCCCCCACTCCTAATGTGATGTCTGATACCATCACATTCTTGCCTACTAAATGGTGGTGGGATTTGAATGCTTTTCATGTAGGCAGTTAAGAATCAAAAAAAAAAAAGAAAGTGGGGAAAGGGGGTGAGTGTTACTATTAAAAATTCAAAGTGTAAAAATTCTATCTTCTATAAGTAGGCTTGATAAAGAAACACTATTTGCTTTTAAGGAAAAGACAATTATAAAATAAAGGGCCCCTCCAAGGTACGAATGTATTGGTTTGGGAACTACTGATGATGGTGTGCAAAAATGTCTAGTTCTACTAGTGCTAGACAGAAAACCCACCGGCCTGTCATAGGAGACTTCAGGGCCCAAGTAGAAAGCCACATTAAGCCCTTTCCCTGTCTACAACCCACCAGAGCAGCATGCCCAACGCATACCTGGAAAAGGGACATTCATGTCGGCGTGCAGCATTTCAATCAGCTGCGTGGTCTTTGAGCCAGGTGCTGCACACATATCTAAGATCTATTAATAATAAAGCAAGTAATGTTTGATGCTTTAAAAAATCAAAGATTCTACATCTAATTTAAAACAATTTTTAAATTGAGTCACTCCAATCTTTAATTTCTATTCTAAGTCCTGAACACCTCTCTTTATAGACTAATTCTATTGCATAACACTTTACCTTTAGGGACTATATAATATATAATGCTCCCCCCACCCTGCAAATCACAGACTGGCACGAGAAACCAGTGAAAACAGTAAACTCAGAGATGAGTAAGTATTGCTGTGACGCAAAGCTCAGGGCAGAGCTACAGGGCTCAAACCTGTAGCCCCTTCTTGTATCTGAAACCTCAGACCAGTTACTACGCTTTCCTTTGCTTCCTTTTCCTCATGTAGGAAAATGGAGATACTGACAGTATCTTCCCTTAAAGGGCTGTGCAGATGATAAAATGAATTAACTCACATAAAGAGCACAGAACAATGCTTGAAATACAATAAGCTCTCCACAGATGTGCCATGTGACTGTCAACCTAATTTAGCCAATCAAGATCACAGAAAGGAATCTCTACACTAAACAGATTAAGAGGGAGAAAACAGTCATCTAAACCATAAAAATTAAGTAGGACAAAAATGCAAAAGAGAACCTAAAACATAAACCATCCTCTATCCAGAGTGAAAAGAGAAAAAAAAAAGATAAATTATATATTAAGAAAAAATAGTTTCAACTAAAACTGATAACAAGCTCCCTGCCCCCGAGTTTCAAGTTCAAGGTGGCTACCTTGTGATGAGGCTGGACGCTGAGCAGCAGTGGTGGGATCATGCTAACCGCTTCTTGACGACTGATATTTCCCTTGAGGAAAAAAAAAATTAGCAACAATAAAAAAATACAGAATTTCAGTATCAGCCATTATTTCAAATGCAACAGGAAAAGACTATATAATCTCACATGGAACAAAAGAATTCATACTACATTAGATGAGGGCAGATTTTTATACTAGGGGATGAATGAACATTGTTATCTAAAGGCTAATTAAGCAGAACCACTAATACCAAAACTTACCATCAGAGTATTAGAAATTCAGGGGTAATACCAACTGTTATAAAGAAAAGGGATTTCACGCCTACACAGTCCTAAGCCCCCACTGTAAGGGCACAGAAGCTGGGTGGGCAGCTCTTCAGACACGCTGCTGGGTCACTACGCAGTCCTAAGCCCCCACTGTAAGGGCACAGAAGCTGGGTGGGCAGCTCTTCAGACACGCTGCTCGGTAACGACTTCAGCAGCAGGCCACGTCTGCTTAGCACAGGACAGGAAGTTAGCAGGTAGTCTGCCCTCTTCACTAATATTCTAACATATGTTTCTTAGTCATATTGTGTCCAGAAACAGCCCACCTCCACTTTCTATTCCTTATAACTGCCTTTCAAAGACACAGAGACATTAACCACTGCTCCCATCTATCCTTCATCAGACCAGTTATCTAGAATTCCTCACCAAATCGACTGTCCCCTCTATCTTCTCTAGCGGGCCAAGGCATCTGTTAAAAGACCTTTATATTTGAGCAGCTGTCACTCACCTTGAACTCAGCAGCTAATGGTCTGACTCATACACTTACTCCTGAGGATTTTCAGCTCATGGGTTTCTGGCCAGCAGTGAGTCTAGTGACTAACTGAATCTTGGTTCACTCGCTAAGCACACTGGTAACAAGCTTTTTCATTATACATGTGCCTTCATTTCCATCCAAATTTTTTCCAAGCTTTTAATTAAAGCATTAAGTTAGATAGGGAAGTCAGGTCCTAGACATCCCAGAAATTAAACACTGGATTATAAACACTCTCTGAGAAAGTTTTATAGCCAGCTTTGAATAACCCAAAGGGTGTCACCATTAATTTTCAGAGTGCTCATCAAGCTGACTCCTGAACAAAAATCTAAACTGCTTTCCTACAACATCTGCTGTCCACACTAAACTCCCATAGCATCCACCTTTCCAAGGCCCCAAACCCCAGCGTTTCAAACCTATCCAACTGTGAATCACACTATTCCCCATACACCCTCTGCTCTGTGCAAAGAGCAAACCTGAATTGTTCTCTAACAGTCTCTCTATCCTTCCTTGACTTTCCATCTAGATAGGTTAAAAACTAAGCAAGACAATCTCTCCTTGTACTGGCCATAGGTACAGAGCAGTGTACGTGGCAACACTTGGTTCTTGCGACTATTCAGGGAGGAAAAGCTAGGCCAAGTGCACAGAAAGCCACAGTGGTAGGAAATAGCTGTACATCAGGAAGAGATTAGGGTCGAGATAGGAAAGGAGGTGAAGGGCTTCCAAGCTGGTTAAGCCTTAGGGAAGAAATACAAGAAGCAGAATATTTCTGTAACTTGAGAGTGGAAAAAAATGCATAATCCAGTGACACATAAAGGTTTACTTGCCTAGAAAGTAGATAATAATAGTAGGGAGGAGGAAATCTCTTATTTTAAACATGAAGGTAAGAACTCAAAAAAGCAAAAAAGAAACAAACAGCAAAGCTGACAATGTTCACACTTTATAAGCATTCATTTAAATACGCATTACATAAGCACATAGCTATTTTCTTGGGGATGGTCTGAAGCTATAGGCAGGAAGGTCAGCACCTGAACTACACTGAAGGAATGTGGGGTAGCAAAGAAACCAGATGGTAACAACAGACGTGGTCTAATGAAAGGTGTACTCAGATGTTTTGCTTTTTGGCAAAAGTAAAATACAAGAGCAACACATGACAAGAAAAAATAGAGATGATAAAAAATAAAATCAAAAGTCTCACTTTTAATAAAATAAATTAAATAGAAACAAACAAAAAATCCCACACCCCAGCAACGTGGCCTTAAGAACACATTATGTATGGGGTGGGCAACTGAGGCCATGAGAACGGACCAGCAGCTGCCCTGATCGATGATCCCTGGTCAGCAAAGTACAGTGCTCACCCCAATTCTACAGCCCCCCCAAATCCATGGCTAAGAGGAAACAATAGATCACACCAACAGCTATGACTGATTCCCTTAATAAACTTCCTGGTCAGAGGAGCCCGACAAGGCGGGAGACGCAGAGACCACAGACTGAAGGTGGTGCGCTCTCCCTGGTCTCGCCCCGGTCGTGTCCACCTACACCTCCAGTGGCAAGTCAGGTGAAGAGAGAACCACCACACAGCTGCGCCTGTAAAGCTTTAAGGAAACCAACAAATCCAAAGAAATCTACTTACAGATTCAGTTTCGCTAACTAGAAACTGATGAAACTTTTCCAACTGTGGAGATTTTCTTAAGATTTTTCGACTTAAATTTGTGTGCCAGGCAAGTTCTTCAGGATACCTGACCAATAAGAAAGTAAAACACGCATGGATTATATATACTAACGAGTGCTCTTGACAGCTTCTTGCTTGTACAGGTCATATACCAAATGGGACATTTGATTGCATTCCACTCCCTCATGCTCACAATCCCCTCACTCGTGCCATCCCTGGGGCAGAAGGATGAAGGCTGTGACCGCACCGTGGCCCACTCAGAAGCAGCAGAGCCACAGAGGCTAGAGGAACCACGTACGTGACATGTAGAATTATGATGATGAAATACTCAAGACAGATGAAAAAGCAGAGCCTCCTTGCTCTTCGCTGTGTTAACAATGGTACAGGGGTCGTCACAGAAGATGACAGATCACTTATATGGAAAGTGCAGACCACACAGAACCAGCACCGTGCAGTGGGCACTCGTCAGGGCACTCAACAAACACGTGACAGGAGTTTTACTTTTCACTTCTAAAAACAAACCAGTTCAATAATGTACTCAAACACTTTATATATACACAAACCCTTGGGGAAAAAAATCCCCAAACTACCATGAAAACTACTAATACACTGATTTGAGCTCCTAGATTAATTGTTACCTATATGAACCTAAGAATGAAGTATCTCCTGCCATTTCTGTGAATATATTTGAACTTTCGATAACTGACGATGCGGCTGATCGGCAAGGACGTATTTCTAAAGTGGCCCGCATCTGCCCACCTGCCTGCAAGTGCGTAAGTGAGACCACACTCCACTGCCCAACGGCAAGCTGCGCATAACACAAGGCCAGAAGTCAGCTGCAGCTTCCCCACTTCACACTGAGTCCGAGGAACACATAATAAGCTCAGTTTCACAATGCAAGGCCACAATGTTTCCATGCATCAAAGCTGGGAGAGATGAAAAATTAAAATCGCAATGTTTGGAAAACACAAACACATCTGACTGCTCTGAAACTGAGTGATCACTTGACAGAAATAAATTCAGGCTGTAAGTATTTAAGACACTACTCAAGAGATATAAGACAGCAGTCCCCACCTTTGTGGCACTAGGAACCAGTTTCATGGAAAACATTTTCCCTACAGATTTGAGGGGGGGAGGAAGGCAGAGTTCAGTCAGTGTTGCTTGTGGCCCAGTTTCTAACAGGTCACCGACCGGTAACAGTCCGTGGTCCAGGGAATTGGGAAATGCAGTTATTAACATAAATTTAAAAACATTTTCTACCAAATAATGAAGATTAAACTGGCCGAATCTCTTCCTGGCCACTCTCCAAATGTCCCAGTGCTTTGATTCTATATCCTATAACTGGTTCTCTCCTCAATGTTTAACTTGTTTTAAAAATATAAAGCCAGGATTGGTGCCCATAGCACAGTGGTTACGGCGCTGGCAACACACACCAAGGGTGGTGGGTTCAAATGCGGACCGGGCCTGCTAAACAACAATGACAACTGCAACAAAAAAATAGCCAAGGGTTGTAGCGGGCACCTGTAGTCCCAGCTACTTGTGAGGCTGAGGCAAGAGAATCGCTTAAAGCCCAAGAGTTTGAGGTTGCTGTGGGCTGTGAGGCCACATGAGGGTGACACAGTGAGACTCTGTCTCAAAAAATAAAAATAAAAAAAGCCAAAAGAAAATCCTATGAAAAATAATTTAGTTTTAAACACCCTGTTGGTCTCCCTAGAACCAAGCAGTAGGATGCGCTCCAATTTGGCTTTCACTCTAGTATTGAGCAAAGTCTCCCGTGCCCCTGCAAGCTCTATTTGTTGCAAAGAGCCAAATGCTTGCTCTTATACAATCTCTGGCAATCTTGAACTTTTGTGTGATCAATGATGGTATGATTGCACGTAAGATACCACCTTATCACATAGCCAAAACACTGTGCCTCACTGATTGAATTTCTAATAGTTAAAATGTAAATTTACTACATGATTAAAATTCTACCGCATTTATAATGTACTAACTTTCAAATAGTTAAATAAACAGACTAACTGTTAAAATGAATTAAAAGGTACGTTTCTTACACAGCTTTCAGAGCAGCTTCAGCTTTTCTATGCCAATAAATGTTCAGTAAAATCTTTGTAGATTTTAACCAGGAAAACAATCTTGAAGAACTGTATTTAATTTGTAGGTATTTAATTCAAATTTAGCTCATGAGTCTTTTAAGAAAAAATCCTATGTGGACTTTCCTGAGGACAAATTAAAAGCATCACTGTCACCTTTGCTTTCTAACAATTCCCAAAGGTTTATCAAAAAACTATAAATATATGCAAGATCTAAAACAAATCATCTTCAACCCAGACATGGAAAAGCACACAAAAAGGATGATGATAAAGTCTGCTCTGACCAACAGACTTGTCAAATCAAGTCTTTTGTAATAAAGGATGATTTCTATTGTTCTGATGGAAAATAAGAAAAAAAATGTCATCAGCCAAAGCCCCATCCTATACTGTAACATTCCCTCTAGAAAATGCAGTTCCAAACACACTTTCCTAAACTATGTTCTACTATATACCAACGGATTAGGAAGAATATTATATGATCCATTTCCGCATTTTGAACAGTACAGAAAACCACCAGAAATCTTGGAAACTTTACTTGCTTGCTGAGAGATCTATGAGTATCCCACAACCAAGAAGTGAATCTGAATGAATAAACATTTACAGACTAAAGCTGACAAGAAACTGTCGTTGGTAATGGTAAAAGCCAAGTAGTGCAGCCAGAGTGTGATTCACTTTCATCTTTCACTCAGACAACCTGCAGGGCCCATCTAGAGGTTTAGGAGGTACATTCTGTCAAGTGCCCAAATGTCAAGACTTACTAGCAAACCCCCTGCCCCCCGTTTCTCATAACTGGTTGGAACCTGCAGAACATGACCTCACTGAGAGCCTTAGAGAGGCCTCGGCCCTGCAGATGCTGAAATGCTCCCCTACTGGCTGAGACCAGAGCACAGAGACTTCCTCATCTCAAAAGTCCTTCTTACCCCATTGCTGCACACACACCAGGTTTCAGGAAAAATGTTTTCAGGTGATTGTATGAAGGAGCAAATATATGTGAAACTACAAAAACCCAGGGAACCTAACGATAACCACAAACCTCTTCTGACAATGCGAGATGGCCTCTACTCTAAGCACTGCACAAGAATCAGTCCATTCAACAAACTCTTCAATCTATCACCCAGTTGTATACAGGAGAAAAGCTTGATCCTATGAAGGTCACCTCATCTCAGCAAGGTTGTAACCCAAGGCTGAGCAGCATCTTCCTTTTCCACTAATCTCACTGCCACACACGATCAACAACCACCAAAAGCCACCCACTACCTGAATAATTTTCCTGAACCCTCTAAGCTTTTAAAATATAAATAAAATGTGTCATTACAAAAACCATCATTGAATTATTTAGCATAAACTTGCAGATTTATTCTTATATCTCAGAAACACATTATATGATGGCACATTTGGTTGTGATTTGGCTGAATACAATTTAGCCTTTGGCTAGTCAGCACTCATTTGAAACATGTGCGCTGTTTATGTCTGTGATATGGACACTGAAAATCCAAAAAGGCTGTAAGAGAAAAGTGACTAAATCTGTAACCCAGGATTAATGAAACCTCACCTTGTTTGTGATCACTCAAGGGTATCTAAAAAGGTAAGACAACAACTGCCACGCACTTCAATGGTCAAAATGTCGAGGGTGGACATAAAATGCTTAATTGACCTTTTTATTAAAATTATCTAAAATATTTCTACTCTAAAAAATGAATACCTCAAAGTTAGTAATTTGAAAGAGGAAACCATTAACAATTAGCTTTAACAACTTCTACAAATGCACAAATCAGCCCAGGGCCTGGTACCTCCAGGCACTTTACAAGACACTTTGATTACCAGCAGGAGGGTTCACCTTCACACAACTGAGACCTGAACTGGACCAGGGGGAACAGACAGCCCAGAAGACACCTCCAGGATAGGCAAAGAAGGGGCAGCCCTCAGAGCAGCAGTATACTTGGGCACTGAGGCAGTGGGCGAGGAATAGACAGCTGACTGTGGCAACCCTTCCTCAGATCGCCTGTCCTTTTCTTGAAGGCAGAGAAGCCACTGTGCAACAGTTATGATTTGAGAAAACAAAGGCTGTAATGTGGAGATGGCAGAAATGGTAATATCAAGGGAAGAAAGAGGCTGGATCTACTGGACAGACTTAACTGAACTTAGCGTCTCAGAGAGCTGAAGTCGTATGTGTAAACCTGCATGCCAACCTACACGGATAAAAGCACTGGGTACAAGGACATCAGGATGTCTGGAGATACGTCCAGGCGTTCGTATTTATAGCAAATGCAGTACTAAGGAATACATTCAAATGACAGGAATTAATATCCTAAAGAAATGCCCAATGTGTCCATCAGCATCTATTTGTGAAATTAAAAAAACAATTTTTTAAAGGAAGAAAAAAGAAAAACCCAGCATGAAGTGTGGTGTACCTACCAACTGAGTGGCTGTGGGACTTCCACTTTCTGACCGTCTACCTCCAAGTTCTCCAACTCCTTGAAATACTTGTTCTTTAAGCAATGGAGAATCTCTTTTGCATGGCTATTAAAAAATAAGAACATTTCAAACTGATCTATAAAGCTATTTTAATACCTTCTGTCTGTTCTAAGGCTGCAAGTGTTTTAAAACTAAATCCAGCTTTGGATGGAGAGAAGACATTCATTAGTCACTGACTTTTTACTTTGTATTCCTTCAAAATGCAAAGAACCTTCACTAATGCTGAAGAACAATAATGCATTTCTTCCCTGGGGAGGAGGACCAAGGGATTTCATGCAAATTGGATGCCATTCACCCTCTACAAATTTTCTTGAAGGATCCTCAGCTCACCAATCTCCAGAATCCAACCCTTCTCAGATCATATTTCCATTTCTTATGCGAACCTTCCACCTGCAATACTCCCCAGACCTAGCTCATCGGATCTGTGCTCACTCCGCAGTGCTCCCTGAGTCTACACTGCTGAAACGCAACGGTTCTCTGCCACTGTAAAACTTGGGAGAAAACCACCTCGCCTTCAACCTCCCGCATCCTAGTCTCAATTTCCGAGAAAATACAAGCACAACCCCCTTACCTTTTGTAACCGGTAATTCTCAGGGTGGCCGGGAGGGGCTCCCTGAGCGCGTCCATGAACTGGCCCCACTCGCCCTCGGGTACAATCTTGAGCTCCTGGTAGTAGTGCTCGAACAGCTTGTTCTCCTTGACGATCTCCGGGTACCCGCCTTCCCAGCCCTGACAAAGGAAAGGGATTTCTACCCCCAGGCCCGAAGGGTTGCCCCTCGCCGCCGCTCTGCAGGCCTCGGCCCGGGAGGCCCCCGCCGGGCGCCCGCCCGCCGCGCCCCGGCTCCTACCGCCTCGCCGCGCTTCCCGCCGCCCTCGGCGCCGTCCTCCGCGCCCTCGGACCGTTGCTGCTGCGGGAGCCGCCGGCCCCGCGCCCGCCGCCCCATGGCCCACACGGCCACGCCCGCCGCGCGCAGACACCGGCCCGCCACCGCCGGGCAGCTCGCAGGACTTCCGGCCCGAACAGGAGGCCCCACGTGTGCCGACCGGGTCCTCAAAGGGGCCTGTAAGGATCGTCCAGAAATAAGCCAGAAGCACCACAATCTCTCCTCCCAGACTGCGAGAGGAAACCGCAGACAGCCCCAAGAGGGACGAAGGCTCCAGCACCCTCTACCCCCGGGGAGGTCCCCGCGGCGCGGCCAGGCTCCCCACGCAGGCTCAGGCAGCTCCGCGGGCAGCCTGAGATCCGCGCGTGCGCAGAGCGGCGCGGCGCGGGGCGGGGCTCCGGTTTAGGTGTGTGTAGCAACTGAGAGGCGGGGCCTGCTGCGGGCCCCGCCCCCTATCTCCGCAGGTGCCAGGTCACCCCTCCTCTAGCCGAGCTCGCCGCTCCGGCAAGTCGGGAGGTGTCCCGGGCGAGGTCGCGCCGTCCTCACGTAGCCGCGCCTCCAGCTCCTCGCCGTAGCCCTATATGAGGGCCGCCGCGGCCGCCGGAGCATGGGACCTGCAGTGCATCCCCGGAGATGGGTCTGGCGGAGGAGCACCTGCTGGACAAGCTCGCCTACCTGGAGTGCTTAATGGGATTAGTGGCGCACGGACTGCTCCTGCTGCGGGGGTCGCCCTACGGCCGCCACGCGTCCAACTCTGGTCTCCGGTTGCCGGCGCGGGCCGCCTGGCTGATGCAGGAGCTGCCCTCGCTGGCCGTGCCGCTCTACGAGTGCGCCCGCGCGTCGCCCGAGCGCCTCCGCAGCTGGCCCAACTGCATCCTTCTGGCCATGTTTCTCATCCACTACCTACAACGGTACCGCGTTTCTCCCGCCGCCCCCTGGCCCGGCGTCCTCTGCCTCCCGCCCGCCTTCAGCACCCGGTGCCTTCTCCCAGTGGTCACCCCCCAGCACACACTGTGCCCTCTCTCCACCCGTGCACCTTCTCGCTGCCTACCCTGTCAGGCGTCCTCTCTCTGCGTGGGTCCCTTTCCCCTGCATCCCACGTGTTTTCTCCCCATATCCCCGGGCTCCGGGATTTAGTTGAGAAACAAGTGGGGATTAGTCTGGGAAAAGCAGGAGACTGTTTAAAAGGATTAGAAGGAAGCGATAGAAAAATTGTGAAACTTTGATTTAGAAACAATCAGCTATTGAGTTCAGAGTCCAGAGTATAAAGTTGGTAACAATTGCTTATGTCTCCCTTTGTGTCTTCGTGCCTTCCTGCTAACCCACGCAGGTCACTTTCAGAGTCTTTCACCTCCACGTTTTGCAAGGAGCCCCAGGACTTGCATAACAACGTTACAGACAACAACCTTAAACCTTAACAAATGAATGGACATGTATGGACCCAAGAACCCTGGGTACCCGTTTGTCCATCTTTTCCTATATCATGAGAAACTGGAAATCTGGTTTCATTAACTGTGGCTTACGCCAAAGGGCCCAGTAAACTGGTTCACTTTCTTACTGGTCGCTGTCATTAAGTATTTTTGAAAACAGGTGTTCTTAGATAATGGTAAATAACAAGGTGAAATGACGCAAAATTGCTGAGCAACTCAGAGATGGGGTTAAACTAGTGTAGATTGGTGGGATCCATCGGATTTATTAAGGATGACTTCGAAACCTTTTTGTTCTGTTTTAAAAAGGATGTCTCTGCAGCCGAAGAAGTTGAACCACCTTAAAACCCCCACTTCCTAGAAAGATAGGAGAATCCATTGCATGTTTATAAGCTGCTTTTCTTTCTCCTGCTGTCTTACATCTCAGTAAGGAGAAAGAACAGGTTTCACAGCTCCTGTGCCAGGAGCAAGAGTCTGGGACCTAATGTGGTTCTCAGGAAATAATGACCTGGACACTAGCACCTAACCCCTGTGGTCAGTGTTCCCATTCCGCTTTTATGTGGGCACTTTAAAGAGGGACAAAGTCAATATTCAACAAAGTCCAAGTGAATACCATGTACCCAAACCATTAAGCAAAATCATTATCAGACTGCTTGGTTTTTTATTTTTTTGCAAGATGATCCAACATTGCTATAACTTTCTTATCTGTATATACTTTTCCACCAATACTCCAAACGCTATGTCTGTTTTCCTAATGGCTAGAAGCAAGTTCTAGGGTGTTCGGTGCTCTTCCAACCCTATCACTCATAACCTCACACTGCTCTGTACCAAAGTTTTCCTACTTGTAAAATGGGTATCATGATGGTAACGCCCTGTGGGACCGGCATGTGTTTTAAGCACGGCTTGCATGGTGCTGGCATGTCTGAAAACTCAATGTCAGCCCCATTCTGCGTTGCTATCCTGTATATCCACATATGGACTCTGGGGGTCATTCATGTACCCCACCGCCAGCTCTCTGTGCCAATGAGATGTGGCAATGGAAAGAAAGGGAGCACTTCACAGAGTTTTGCCTGAAAACCTGAATTGAAGCTTTCAACACATCATGTACTCAGCTCTCTCAAGTGGGAGAGTGAATGCCACCTCCCAAAGGGCCAAAGGCGCCTCCTGAGTGACACCAGGAGTAGATCATTTCACATGCCTGAGGGCACTAAGACACAGGGGCTGCTGGGGTGAGACTGATTACCAGACTAGTGGTCTTAAAAACTGCTCCAAAAGGCTTTGCCAGGTCAGGTATAATTTTTAAAACTATTGAGCTTTTTATATTGACATGTTCCTGTGTACATAGCCTGTGTGGTTTGGGGACATTTAAGTTTTCGAAATAGAAAAGATAAACATTTCCATTCTACCCAAGCAACTAATTTATTAAACAGTCATTTGACCTAAGTTGGTGAGCACTTGGAAGAGAAGTGGAATGGAAACAGCTCTTAGCACGGGTGACAAACCATCCCAGCAGGTCCTGTGAATGGTACAGAGCCTTGTATTAGTGCAGGGCACTGCAGATGGTAGAGACCCAGCTGGAGAGGAGGCTGAGTCAATACAAACCTGAGTCTTGCAGGACTCAGAGCCTGGGGAGGCTTGTGCCTTGCAGAACTCGGCAGGTATCCACAGTGGCCCCTACTGCTTGCTGAGCTATGGGCTAGTGCAGGAATGAGGCAGGGCTCTCCCTGGAGAGTTTGAGAGCTTGGGAGCAGTGAGGACCAAGGCCAGGCCCAAGGGCTTTCCACAGGGAGGCCCATAGGCTGCAGCAGGGCTACGGCTGTTCCCGGAGCAAGGGACAGTTTAGGGGATGATGACGATGAGGGTGCAGTCTCTCAGGAGGAAGGAAAAGGAGAGGGTGTGTGTGTTTGCTTTTGGGGGAAAGGAGACCTGAGCATTTTTTTTTTTTTTGTATTTGTTCAGCATACATTCATCCAGGACTGCTGCAAGGGCCTGGCAGAGTATGGGCATGCAGAGATAAGATACTCTCTTGTGTGAGATGTTGCAATGTTCTGTGAGACTGCGTGGGATCTTTTAGCCAAAGAGCCCAAGGGGGAGAATGGGAGAGAGCAAGCCTTGGCACTGCTTGGTTCCCTCAAGGAGGGCAGAGGGCATCTTTGGGTCTATAGCAGGGACAAGAGTTGAACTAACTGCCTTCTTCCTACATTGAAGCCACTTTCTTTGGCCCCAGGGTGGGTGGGGTCTCACTCCATCCCTAGCCTTCCTGAGTGTGTGGAGTGTCTGGCTCGGTGCCTGCTACCTGAGGCAAGTGCATTCTCCAGCCTCTTACCAAGCCTCCCACCTTCTCATCCAAGGGCTCTCCTAAGCCTGTGCTTTACTCTGCCCTACAAACTTTGCTGGTCTAACCATCTGTGGTCACAGTGATGCTCCCTCCTCTGCCTGCCCTGTGTTCTTCTGTTCCCTGACCCTCTGTCCTGAGCTGGCACCCTGACCCAGGTCCTAGTCTCCGATTCTGGTTCTCTCTGGGCTTCCTCACCCTTCCCGCCTGCCTTCCCTACCCTCACTTTTAAATCCTGCTTTGCTAGACACAGCAGCAGTCTCCTGTTGTCACTAGCATCAGCTCAGTACTGTGTGTGTCACAGACGTTCCACGGGGCTTTCCAGGCTACTGTCTGCCCTCATTCCTGGCTGTCTCTCTAGACAGGCAGGCTTATCCAGTATTACCTGACTGCTTTTGCTCTCATCTCTTCCCCTCCCCTCACAGCAGTGAATTTACTAGTTGGGATTACTTCATCATCACTCATCCATTTAGCAGACAGTTATAAAGGATCAGCGTGTCCAGCACTGCTTGCCCTGGGAGTCCTCAGCAGCAGCATTATGACAGGTTGCCCAGTGGTCCAGAGTGATGCCTGTCAGGCCTCCTCTTCCTAACACCTGCCCCAGGTTTATGCTGAGCCGGTGCAATTTTTCTTTTGTCATTACCCGTGATTACCATCCATCAGAGAACCTAAGCCCCTTCTGAGTCATTGTTCCTCTTACATAATTCTACCAGTGGTCTCTTGGGGGAGGCCCAGCCCCATTTTTAGATGGGCCATGGTGTCATGTTAAAACACACTGGGGAACTGAGAGGGTGAAAGATGTTAAAAGAAAAAATTAGCTGCATTAAAATTTTAAGGAGTTTACTTGAACAGACAGAGATTCATGAATCAGTGCCAAACCACAAGAGGTTTTGGTTCCATCAAGGGAGCACATAGGAAAGCTTATTAATATAAGGTGTCTGCACAAGCAGGACAAAGAAATATTTGGTTAGGGTAGCAAGTCCCCAGGTAGAATTTAGTTGGCGGTTTCTGATTGGTAATATCTCCAGTTGGAGGTTAGTTGGTAGTTTCTTATTGGTGAAGTCTCCACTTGGAGGTTAATTGGTGGTTTATTATTGGTAATGTTTCCAGTTGGAGGTTAGTTTGTGGTTTCTTACTGATAAAGTCTGCAGTTGGAGGTTAGTTGGCAATTTCTGATTGGTTAAGCTTAAGTTTCCTTTTACTCTTTACACTGAGTTGGGTTTTGGTTTGCTTATGTAGGACCTGAAGCACAGTCTCAGCCTAATGATTATCTGATATCTTTTTAAGGAGGGCGCACTGGATCCTTGGCTCTTGCTTTGTGGATTTGAATAATCTAAGAGAAGAAAAAGTATGCAAAAGTGTAGAGTGATGGCAAGTGAAATAGTCAAGGTGAACGGAACGTTGCCTTGAAGGAGCAAAGTGCTTAACACTCGAACTGCCATGGGAGTTGTATTTAACTTATACGAGTTTCTTTACCTATCTTGATCTAATAAAACACCGTGACCTCAAGGAAAAATTTTTTGTTTCCTAGTGTCTCAGTCAATGTGTTAAGTGTGCAGCTTTGTTGCCATCTGTGATTTAGTCATCACTGCAGAAGAGTCTTTTACAGAAAGATACAGGCACGAGGGATGGATGCAAATCTAGGGAGTGCTACAGATTTCAGTAGTCTCAAATTACTGAGAAAAAGTAATAAAGTCAATTTTAAACCAGTCTCTGGGCTGGTCATGGTGATTTACATCTGTAATCCTAGCACTTTGGGAGACCACGGCAAGAGGATCACTTGAGTCCAGAAGTTCAAGACCAGGCTGAGAAGCATAGCAAGACCTTATCTCTACAAAAAATAAAAACTTAGCCAGACATGATTGCACATACCTGCAGTCCCAGATACTCGGAGGCTGAGGCAGGAAGATTGCTTGAGCCTCAGGAATTTGAGGTTGCAGTGAGCTATGATGATACCACTGCTCTCCAGCCAGTACTAGAGTGAAATATTAAAAAAAAAAAAAACTTCTCAGTTTTAACCATTTAACAGTAATTAAATCTTCTACAGCCTAAATTACGCCTAAATTACCATGTTAGATATTTTACTGTTCTCTAACTTAGGGGTGCATAGATTGTCCAGAGAGATGATGTGCAATTGCTTTTATTTTTC